GACGGAGTTCTCGACGGCGATCGCGGTCCCGCGATTCGAACGGGCCGAGCTGACCGGCTGCCGCGCGGAAAAAGTGAGCAAGAGGGCCGATGAATTATTACGCGGCGCGTCCCCGCGTCGAGCTTTGAGAACGCCGCGTGTTTTTCATAGACCACCGGCCCCCTAAATCTTCATCAACGCTGACCCTGTTCTCCTTTTCACTTCGGCGTCGCGGAAACGTCCGAAAACAGAACAACGGACCCTCAACGCCGGCTGAGCGGGAAGGAAAATAGTGGACAGCTTTTATCTAAATTTCCCCTGGACTCGTATCGACTGCGGCCCAGCTATTTCGAGCGTCTGATTCTCTTATTTCAGCCGTAACCGAAATCTTCCTCGCGCCGAAAATCATTTATAGAAACAAAATATCAAACGATATCGTGCGAATGGACGTATTCGAGCGCGTTTTGAATGAACGTTCAAAGCGTTGGAATATTCTAGATTATATTGATTTTCTCCGTATGTTAATATTGTTCATCTTTTTATGAATCTAGAATATTCCAAATATATGTGAAGTTAATGCACGGTGATGAAAGAATGTTCTAGAAAGTGTGCGAGCGAGACAAGAGCGTCTGAGTATATAAATAGTGTGTGCGTTGTTTAATTTAGTTAGTGTTTTATTGTGAGCTGTGACGAAATAATTATACTGTTTCAAATAAAATTCTCTTTCTCCTATAATTTACATAATACACACCTTCGAATACAAAAATCGTAACGTCGAGTTCTATATTCACAGCACTATTCGCTATTATCTAGTCACCCCTGACGTACATTCTGCATTTCATATTATATTTTATAGTATATAGCCATGTGCGACTAGTGCATAAGTTATAACATTATTTATTGCAACAAATTATTATATTACAGCCTTCGCCATGAAGGCGCTACTATATATCTACCCCCGACTGAACATTGTAACGCCGGGGGAACATGTTTTGAAAATAAAGCGCTTTGTATCTAGAATTTTCAGTGTAGGTTAAGGTATTTTTAAGAAGAGTGAATGTAAAAATGAGTACGAGTGAAGGACAGGCTGTAAAACTGTCATAGGAACTGGAGAATGGAAATTATAAGCACAAAGTGGGACTTTGGTATATGGCGCTCTTCACTCGCTTCCGCGGAATTCACGCGTAGGAACGAATCGATAGCGCGAAAGTCGTTGTACAGAGTAAAAGTTGTCCATCGGAAGACCCTTAAGGATTAAAAAGCAGAGACGTGGCGAGCGTAATTCACGGCGTCGCGGTCGCAAGAAAAATCACCGGGAGCGCGCTCCGCTCGGCAGGAAAACGCGAAAGTACAGCCGGCGTTTTGAACTTCGCCGCAGAACTTTCCGGCCGAAACAATGAGACTCGAAGTTCCCTGCGATTAGGGCGCAGCTGTTGCACCCGGGGAATTATTTAACCGCGTTCAACGACCGTTCCGCGAAGGAAATACGCGAGCGCGGCCGAGGGAAAAGACGGCTAATCGATGAGAGTCGGCCGCGAGTTATCAGGATCCTGACGGAGCGGTTTCCGGGCGTCGCACACGAACAAAACCGAAGGGAACGGAACGGGGCGAGCTTTTTGCCCGGTTGTTTCGCTGATGTGGACACGCGGCAAGTTGTTTTTCAAGGCCTGCGTCAGCGCGCCGCGCCGCGTGACGTATGCACGTCCAGCTCTTTTAATCGCGTGTGACCTACATACCGGTTGGCTCGTCTTCTGTTTACCCCGAACACGCCGGGGCAACAGGAAATACCGGGATCTCGATAATTTCGACTCTCCCCCCGGCCGCCCGCGGCCGGCTGGCCTGTTCCAATTCACGAAAGTGCGCTCCCCCCCGGGTCTCGCGAACGCCGCATTCGCCGAACGCTCTGTTATTCATCAATCCGTTTCGTTGCGTCCCGCGCTTCCAGATTTTTGGCAAACGCGATCGCGCGATTGCGATTGACGAACAAGCCGCCGCGGACTCGTTCGAAGAAACGCGCTCGCCGCACGAAATAACGGTGTTCTCGCTTGAAAAACTTCGAGTACGCCGCGAGTCTTTTGTTCCTCGGTCCAATTTCCTTTTCCTCCGCGTGCGCGGAATTGGAACGAGAACGACGTCGGACGCCTGATTCGTATATAGGTTTATTATTTGCCGCGAGTTCCTCGTTTTTGCACCGTCGTAAGCGGACGGACCATCCGACAGTGATCGCGTTACTCCGACTTCGCGTTAGATCTTGCAGCGCGTGTGCGATTACGCGATTACTTCAGCCCGAGAAGCGAGAAGAGACTCCCTCGCGTCCGTTAATTTCTTCGTTTGCTGAAAAACTGAAAGCCACCGGGGTGAAAGGGGATGAACTCCGAAGCGAGTCGGCCCGGAGGCCTCCGCCGCTCGCGGAGCCGTATAAATTATAAAATTCCTTTTTAAACCTGCCGCTCGTAATCGCTTGTCATTTCGAACGGCATTAACCCATTTTTCGCTAATTATAAGAGCCGAGCGATTCAGAAAGTTTCATTGGGTCCCGTTCATTTGATTTTTCAAGTAACGCGCTTCAATGGATTCCATACGGACTCGAGCGGATTTTCCGCCGCCCGGGGAGCGGAACGCCGCGATCGCGCAGACTCCGAGTACGAGGAGAATATAAAAGGTTGTCTCTCGCACGATTTAAATATGTCGATGCACGATGCCATAAAATCATCCCGATATTCGTTTCTGGATTGATCTAAAAAAAAACACGGAACACCTTTCGACAGAAATATTCGCGCGACATCGTTAACTGGAGTGAAGATATTTCTGAAAATTAACGATGGATCAATTTCAATCTATTCTGCGTATTATCCCCGATCCCACCACCGTACGCAATGACGCAACTTTGCGTCAGCCGCCGCGCGCGTCAGCACATCCAACCCCCACCCTCGCGCCACGGTCCCCCGATCGTACGCGATCTTACGAGGTATCGAAACGCTCGGTTGGTAACGAGAATACGTCCCGACGAGCGCGTAGAAACGGCTCGCAGCCAATTAACCCTCTGCAGACCCGTGTAACTTTAACACTTTAGCTGCCATGTCACCCGAATTCCGGTGACACCGTGAATATAAACTTAAACGTCATTTTTCTCGGCGATGAAACGAACAAACTGAATTCTATTAGATGCGAGATACTAGAAAGATAGTAGAGCGATCGTTACGAAAAATATTGACTTCTTAGTTTCAGCGTTATTAAGAAAATTGCTTTGATCGCGTAGGAGTTTCGATGAGCGTACACTTGCCAGTCAAAGTGTTAAAGTCACGTATCAGTGTATTGGCACCTTGTTGATTTACTTCATTCCGCACTCGAAGTGGCGAATAAAATGAAGCAATCGGTTAACTTCAACTTTTATACAGGCGTGAAAGTTTAACGCTAAAACTACCGAGCACTTCAATTGACTTCTGAAAATTTCACTATAGAAACTCCAAGAGTGCATCTGTTGATTTTAATTGATACAGTTCAATTTGCGTAGCGGTAAATGAATTTCTTTAATAATTTCTCCGAGGAACATTTGCAAGCTTTCTGATAATCGCAAAAAGAAGACATCAGGCATGGGTCATTTGACCCCTAGTTTTAGTGTTAACGTCATTGTAACTTGAAAGTTACAAAATATATTCGTACGATGAAATTGAAACTATCGAATACATTGCTAATTCGCATTCCTACGTGGACATCTATTAATTTCGTGCATAGATTTCGTTAGAATCGTGAACAAAAATTCGGCCCACAGAGGGTTAACTCCGCTTAATCGTCGATATAGGCAGGCCTCGGCGTCGGTTCGCCGCAAATCATCGAGACAGCGTAGGTCAGCTAGCCCCCCCTCTCTCTCTCTCTCAGTTTATCGCAGGGCGAGCCTGTAAAAGCGCGATTAACTTCGGCCAGGCTATTCAATTATCCGCGACTCGTTAACGGGGCCATCAAAAACGCGCGCGGCCGGAGCAACAGATTGCGAGGACGAGCGCGGCCCGCCGAGAGGAAACGGCATGAAAAGACGAGGAACGGAACCGAGCGTAACAGCACGCCGAGAACTCCTCCGGGCGATCTTTCCCGGCAGAAAGGAGGGATTAGTCAAAGGCGGCGGGGAGGGGCAGCGGTTCGCGAGCGAACGAAATTTTCAAGAGCGATCTTTTGATCCTCGGCTAGGTGCTCCACGCTTCCGAGGACACGGGGGCGGAACTGATTTAGGTCGAAGGGACCCGGAGCCGGCTGAAATGAAAAGGAGGGTAACTTGCTTCACGAAATGGCGAACGGCTCGATCCTCGGCATAGATGCGTTTCAGGACTCGCGAATTAATTCCTCGTTCTACGACGCTTCGGTAAAGGGGGAGGATTCAAACGCTCGCGACGGGGAAAACGAGAGCAGCGTAGGAAAGGTGTAGCGCCGGAAATTACTCGCGATTTCGAAATAGATCATCCAATCTTCGGAATCCTCGCGCTCGGTCGAGCGTTCATTGAAACAGATTCGCGTAGTTCCTCATTCTTTTTTATTCCGCGTCTCGGATTAACTGAAGCCCGTAAAACTCGGTGGATCCCGGTGTAAAATGCGGAGGCCCATCGATCGCTTTAATTGCAGCGAACCCGTCCGCGCTCCGCTAACAATGCCCGAGCAATATTTTTCGGTCCAGCTATTCCGACTGGCGGGAATCGAATACTTTCGGGAAATGTAAAATACCCGGGATTCGCGGGGATATTGTTCCCGGCGGACGGACGGACTCGACGGGGTTCCGTCTTGATCGAGGGAAATAACACGCAGACGGTTCGCCCTTTTGCGTGTCAATACTTGGGGGTCTGAGAGATAGTCCAGGCCCATTGGCTAATTTATGACGAAGGAGACCACCAGGACCCTTTTTAGAAAAGCAACCGAGGAACAGCAGTTAGTCGCCGTTTCTCGTTAGAGCTACGTCGCGTGATGAATATATTTAACCCGACTAAGGACTTAGTTTTTATTTTGGTAGCCCTAGAAATAATGATCCCACTCACTGTGAAGATGATCGTCGATCCTCGCCTGAAGCATGTTGAAGCTCGAGCTCGGCTGGTACGGCTGCTGGTCGCGTATACCGCCGCACGCGAACTGATAAAAGTCCTTGCAAGGATCCACCCCCTTCTTCATGAACGCCACCATCCGCTTCGAGGCCTCCTCGCAGGCTTTCGACTCGCAGACACCCTCCGGACCGTCCCGCTCCCTGATGCAAGCCTCGTCCTGAAAATTCAAGATCGCACCTTCTGTTCATCGAGCAACGTTCCTCGGGAATATTATTCGCTCGTTCGTTTTCACCCTTAACCCCTTGCCGTACGACGAGCGAGACTCGCGACGAAGATTTCTAGATTAACCAGTTAACCGTGTATCATCGTAAAGCTTGACACGATACTAATTCTTTCAGCGATGAATTCTTTATTTTCTCACATGAACACGTAATTCTTCTTTCATTGAAATATACTCTGCGCGCCTTCGTCCTCCAAAATCAATGTCGTTCATTGCTCGCGAATCAAAACGGAAAACTATTTCGCTGTTATCATGTATTACGTCCAAGTGAAATTTCCACGTCTAGTAGAATGGACGATTGCATTTCTTCCAAATGATCGATCGTAGAATTGCTCGCAAAGTATACGGCAACGATCATTGTATTACTTGTTTCACTGTTATTCTTGTAATATTTACAATTAACACGCTCAGTATTGCGCACTCTCTGAATTTCCTTCCGCTTGGTACCTTCTTAAGTGAACTCGGAATACTTCCGGTCCATTAACGGTTAAAGTTTCTCACTAGAAACATTCGATATTCTTCGACAAGATACAGACGATGTTCTTCGAAACTAATCAACGAGGAAACATATAAATTAAGAAGGAAAGTTATTTTATTTCAATATTCCATGTATCGATGCATCGTACGAAGCTTAATATTATATATAAAACTCTATAGTTTTGCACATCAAATCAAGCGGTGACTGAGAGTCACCTCTCGAGCGCAAAGGGTTAATCTGCCGACCGATGCATTCACCGAAATACCGATGATCGAACGAGAATAAAACGACGAGCGCAACTTCTCGCCGAACTCTGAAAAGACCCGATCGCGAATTAGCTCGACTCGGGAGCCGAACGCTCGTCTAAACATTTTCCAGGGCGTTTCTTTGGTCGAGCGACGCGACCCCTCGAGCCATTCTCCGGATGACGAATGCACCCTCCCCGACGTGCCATTCAAAAGCGTCCCGTTCCAGCGTTTTCTTCCCAGCGATATTCGTCTTCGCGCGGCCTTCGACGGAGTGCGACTTTAAACGGTCGTCGGGGCGAACGTTTTTCCCGCGGTTCATTCAATTCTCAGTCGACGGTACGGGGTCCGCGGCGTTTCTTCTCGCTCTGTTCCGCTTCAATACGGCCGAACCGCGGAATTCTCCCGAAGGGAATCAAGGATCGTACGTCTTCGTTGAAAAAGACGAATGCCGTGCGGCGGCGGCGGAAAACTTGGGAGTCTGCGGTTCGAAGATAAATAAGGGAAAAAATCATAGAGGAATCATCGAAAACGGGGTGGGAAAAACCGAGGAGACCCGGCGACGAGGATCGACTGCTCCCGACATCGTGTCGTCGATCGGCTGGCGGCGGCCAGGACCGGATAGCGTGTTTTCTTTTCCCTTTTATTCCCCTTTCCCGACAAAGACGAATGGATCCTCGGTCGATTCCCTCCGGGGGACAAGTGAAATTAATTCCGACGTGATCCGCGAACGATGCCTCCCTCCTCCTCCACCTCGCCCCGAGTCGGTCTTATCGGTATGAAATTTTCGAACCGATGGAAAGAGTTCCGACGGAGAGGAAGCTAGACGCGGAAACGGATATCCATCGCGTCCGAAGTCGAGTGAAATAGATGACAGGCGATGGAGGGGAACTAGTTTCATGGAGTTCCAGCAGATAAGCTCCCCCGACATGCATTAAACTCGGGAGAAAGATCGCGGCCGGCGCGACGCTCAACTTTCGAATCCCGGGCTGCTTCCACAACAACAGCAAAAATTTCACCCCCGTCTCGCCGTTGGACGGCGGACGGGATTCTACGGTTGCTCGTTGGAGACGGAACAATCGGATTCACGGAGAACGTAAACTTGCCGGCGATCCGGCCGAGGTAGCGGGATGGTTTAATCAATCTTCTACACGGACTGAAACCAGAGTTCCATTGTTCTAATGGAACCTTTAACTCTCGCGTTTCTTTATCAAAAGGTTATCGGCAAATTAGCCCTTTGTACTCGGCAAGTTCGTTAGAAATATTTTAACGTCTGACCTGATATAGACGACATCGTTTCCTTAAGCAACAACGCTATTTTAACCACTCGCGTTGGAAAGACGTTGGCACGTCGAGACGTTTCTATCGAAAAATCCTCAACGATTCACGCATTGATAATCTTGTCGCATTACGCCTATTGGATTACTTCGAAATGTACCACTCTATACAGAATGATTAACGTACAATGATTAGTATACGTATCAGCGAAAAGTAGGTGAAAAGAAAATTCATCGCAGGAGACTGCCAAGTTTCTGAATTCAGTTAAATGAAATAATTCTACAGTTTCACTGCATCAAGTCAACCGAGAGTCACCTCTCGAGTGCAAAGGGTTAATCTATCTATTATGCAATCAATCCCCGAGCGCATAAATTCTCGTCGGGACTTGGAAATCGCAAAGTGCTTCACGCCGAGTGATTTTGATGGAGGGTCCCCGCCTCGTAAACATCGCGGGGCTCGCGTTATCGCCGGCTTATCTGTTATCGCGGCGACCTTGGCGTTCGATAAACGCCTCCGCTCGTGAGCCTTTTTTCAAGGGGCGCTCGAGAGTCCGCGGGCTGCCGGCTCAATTACGCGGCGGCTCGTGCGCTATGCGGCGAACTCGCGAAACTCGCGTGCGCGCTCGCCGCTCTTCGTGTTAATGGAAGTTCCTTCGCGTCGTCGGTCCCGATCAAGCATCCGCCCGGGACGGCCGCGACCCTTGGGAATCGAATCGGCGACCTAGCTTCTCAGCCCTCGGCACGAATTTCCATGCCGACCGCGGGAATGCGCCCAGATACGCGCCGACCAGAACGAGCTGATTTATTTCTCTGTACCGGGTGATCCGCGACGACGCTTTCGCCTCATCTTGACGGCGGTTCGCGGGCGATCCCGGCGTGCACCGATTTCTAACGGGTCATTGGAACCGAGTCGATGGAATTATTCCTTGTTATTGTAGTATCTAGAATTTTTTAAGGGCGACCAGGTCGTACTGCGACGGACCGGCGCAGGGATGTTTGGAAAATAGTGTGACTGCGTTTAGAAAATCTCGAGTCTATTAACGTTTTTAACGTTGAAAAAAATTACAGAAATTTATTTTTCAAAAAAACGGAAAAACGGAGTGATCGAATCCAGCCGAGCCGGAATTCTAAGTCCTTACGGTCAAGAGTAAACTTTCGCTATATTATTCCTATAGAAATCTTTCTATTGCAACACTACGTTACATCATACGTTTCAAGATACTATGCGACGTGCCGAGATATAGTGCGCGAGAGGTAGAAAGCTTCACTTTAATTAAAGTAAACCCTTGAAAATTCAGAATCTTGTTAAGATCTTAACCGGAGGACAATCCTCGGAGTATAGTTAAACATTGTCACTGTTTTATACAAATATATTCGATGAAACTCTCTCAACGCCTTAAGAGACGTAAGATATTAAAATCGACGATCGTTTAATTTTCAAGACGAAACGGTCGCGCTCCCGCGAAAGCGACGGGAAAAAGTTCGGCGAAGTTCTGTCCAGGGAAATGAGATTCTTTTAACAAGGATTCCAGAGCAAGCCAGAGGTGAGGGGACGCGTCAAGTCTCGAAGTTCCCGCCGATACTTTTCCGCGCGAGGGGAAACTGCATCCCCGTTACGGGAAATTGAATTACACGGGCGTGTTTGCAATTTATATTCCGAGCACGGCCTACCGCTCTATCTAAATCACATCCCCGGCAAGATGGCGGAGGAGGAACCCGGTGTATTTACCTCGTTCGAGCGGATTCCGCGTTTCGCCGCGCGAACGGCGAGATCGGAGGAACACGTGCGTAACATCGACTCGGAATTGCGCTCAGATTTCGCGTAAGAGAGCGTTCCATGCAAATGAAATTTGATCGCGACGCGGCCGGCTCTCCTCCTCTCGCTTTTAACAGCGGGGAGAGCCTTTTCCGCTCGTATTTTCCTTTATTCCCCGCGGTCTTCCACCTTTCGCCGGAAAAATTCCCGAATCGGCCGGCGCGGCGCGGCGCGGCGCATGCAAATGTATGCGTCGAACCCCGGAGTTATGAATACATAATGAATTAGAGCGTGCCGGAGAGAAGGAGAAGGACTAAAATCGTTTTAGGACTCGCCGGAGTGATTACAGAGACACGGATGCTAACAACGTGTCGCGTGAAAACGACAAAGTAGTCTGGCTCCGCAAATACACTTATTTTACCACTGCAGTATAAAGCTCGCTTCAAAGGGACCGCGTCTTAATCACTTCGCTTGTCGCGACTGTAACGTTTTACTTTCGAATCGAGCTTCAGTAACAGAGAACAATATTTGCCACTTGGCTCGCTGGGAGAGTGCTCGATGACCCTTTGTCATCGAGGAATTCTGCGTTAACCTTTAAAGATCAGAATCTACTTCTACGTCTATTGGATATTATTACTGAAATAACAAACAATATATAAACACTGCTCTTAACCGTTTATCATACGTGTACGCTATTGTTCCTTCGTAGTGTTTCTCGTATTTAACCCTTTGCGCCCCGAATTTCTCTTGCATTCTATCGATAAATTTATATTGTTACGATATTTCATTTGAAATACATCTTAACCAGTTAACTGTGGAATTTAGTTGGAACAACCTATCGTCCTGCGCGCAATAAGATAAAAATGGAGCGTGTACTCGTGGAACGTGGGACGAATGCGTGTAAAGTATATTTTAATAAAAGATCGAAGCGAAAGAAAGAAGGATTACACGTTTATGTGAAAATACAAAGAATTCATCTCTGAAAGAATTAGTATCAAGCTTTACGATGACGTGTATACTCGTCAAACACAGTTAACTGGTTAAAAGATAGTCTGCAGAGTGCAGTGTAGACGATTTCTCTTGCTAATAATATTGAAAATAACGTAATAATATAATCTATTGTAAAAATATCTTGACAAAGATACCCATGAATGAAACTGAGTCGCGCTAGAGCATATTGA